AGTTAGTGCAAGTCGCGCCCAGGATAAACCTCATACTTGTGATTACCAGTTGGAAAAGCGCATTGGATTGTGGGAAAACAAATGTTTATCAACACAAATGTCAAAAATACGTAGCGCGACAACCACCGCCCTTTAAGCTTGGGTTGATTTAACTAATATTAGGAATTAAATTATTGCAGTTGAAAAAATATGCAGACATAAAGAAGGAAAAACAATAACGTACTCATAAGCGAAAAAGATAAAAACAAGTTATTAGATTATTATTATTATACATCTGTCACCGTAACGCCAAAAGTTACAGCTGTCTTAGTTTGACCGGGCCTCCACACAAAGAAGTTCGCTAAATATGTTCTAAACGTCTTGAAAGATGTGTAATAATACGGTTTTTGCAAAGATACTCAGACAGTACGCGGTATCATCGACCTCCTCTGCACGTCGGTCGATACTCCCTGCACTGCTGCACTGTCTTCGTGCATACTTTGCAGTATCCTTATAATAACCTCATATTATTCGTCTGTACTGCAGCAACCAAACATATTTTTTTTCAGTTGCAATCTTATGTTTTTTTTAAGGCTGAGCGGGTTGGACCAACAGCGATAATTGATAACATGGACAATATAGATAAGTGTAAACGTTACAGACTTGCCCATGTACAAGATACAAATGTATATATGGGTATCATAAACAAAACTACAGACTGTAATCGATATTGTCCTTGTTATTATGTAAGTATATATAATACGTGTTTCCGTATACGTATTTTTGTAACTATTCGTAGTTCAAACACACCTGGCGTAGTACTTCAAAGGTAAAAACAATAATATAATTACATCACAGTCAGTACTGAATATGTAAATACTCTCGCGTAGGAATGATGTCGTCAGTTATATATATATATACATATACTTACTATGCTTTAATTGTGACATATCCCGATGTTCATTGTGACTCATATTAACTGTTTGGCGGGAACGGGTTGTTCGCAAGCGAAGACAAATAAAAAAAACTGCTGCTATTCGCTACCATACTTATTAAATATACAGGTATGTGTTTTCGTTAATAAAACAAATCATGTGCAATGTGAAGGTGGCAGATAGCGCGCCTGTGTTGATCAGTGAGCCACATTTGTAATCACACTTTTGCATGCTGATGCCACATTGTGAAGGCGTATATGATCCTCAAACAATGCCGCAGATGGTTTACCCTTGCTAATGTTTAAATATTAGGACAACTGCGTGTATACAGTTGCGGACAGTGAATGTGAATGCCTGTGTTTATCACCAACAACATACGAATATTGCAAAGACCAGTTTACATTCACGAGGTAAAAGATGTGTACAATAAAAATGTGTTTCAGGTCGTTCTCTATTGAAATATTAAAATTTGATATTTTCTTTTACAGTCATTGTAACATCTATATGTATATATAGTAGACTTAGGTTATTTTTATCATATCATTTAGCACTATCACATATTATACCATTTTATACACAAATTAGTAATACTGTGTGTAAACATGTACGATGGCAAATGTGTGGTTTTCCTCCATTAAGTCAAATTTTTAACTAGTTCAAATAACAAACAATTCACACCCATTGATGCTGTTTGTTATGTCTTATAGTCTCAAAGTGAATAAGGATTGAATTTTGAATTGTTTTTCCCCAGTGACGATGAACCAATTTGCCTACCACAAAGACCATTGATATCTCCTATATTTAAAAATACCGATGTCAATACGGGTTTAGATAAATGCTATTACGCTAACTGCGACGACAAACAATCTTCAAGGTGAGATAACTACCATACGTAAATACCTTTGATAGTAAGTAACAAAATGGTTCATTTTAACATGTTCTTTATCTGACATACAGTGAATGCAACGCACATGTAAGTTGTAAATGGAATCAAGAAGATGACACATGCGCGGACATGTTTCCAGCAATTGGTACGTACTGTATTATCAGTATTTTTTTGTGACTTACCATTATATTAGAGACAAATTTATTGCCCTTAAACAACTATTCGCCACAGGTTTCAATAGTACTCCGTAAATATGTATGCGTATGGCCTGACTAAAGGTTACGCATTGTCGCTTGCCAGTGTATACCGGTTTTGTATTAACTATGTGAACGCTGTGTTCCATTCATTTATTATATATATATATTTTTTTTTTTGCAGTTGATGCCAGTTATGATAGTTCGCATATATTCGTTATATTTATCAACGGTTTTATATATTTTATGTTTGGTTTGGGTATTTTAGGTTCTTTTTTGACATTTATAATTGCCATTAAACGTTGTATACTCAAGAAATGCAGGGAATGATCTTGCACCTGCACACAGCGTCCCAGTGACATACATGCATCGTAAAATATTTTAGCAAATGAACAAAGACTTGAACGTTCAGCCACTTGAAGAAAAAAATGAGGGCTTATACAATAATGTATCTCTGTGTAATATTCATATTCAATTCATATTGTAATAGTTTTCATCGCCAGTTATATTTCTATCTGACAAATTGCAGACCCTCTCAATAGATTGATTTTGTTTTTAACGTCCTTGTTATATTATGATTCTATATTCTTTATTAGTAATTTCTTTCCTAATTGTAATTTTTTCAATTATTTTTAGACAATGTTCAAATGTTTATATCCATTTAACTTTTTATTGTAATTCCTCAAAAGTTAGATGGGTCTTTCGTGTGAATATATTATCTACTCTATGCTGAGGGATGATTATCAATCTGTGTCCCCATTTTCAAATCTATAAGATTTTGTATTATTCAATATTCAAGTGTTTGACTTTATATAATTAGAAAATGAGTGAGTTAATTGAGTGACTTAATTTGATTAATA